AAAGAATTATTACTTAAATAAAAATACTTAAATACTTAATTAAATATTTTAATAAAAAAGAATTATTATTATAAATATAAAAGAAAATTACGAGAAATCTTTTAAGCGTCCACTTGCTGAAGTTAAAATTCATTTCCATCAACAGATTAATCTCGATTTAACAATTTACTATTTATCTTTTCCTAGTTCTGAACATTAGAAAAGCGATAGAGAGTAAATAGCGAGATAAAATTAATCTACATTGGCAAAAATAGATATAAAATAGATTTTAAAATTCAGCGAATGTCATTTTTACGATGAACAACTTTTGCTACGAGCGCAATGATTAATTATGAATTGCAGCGGTACATACTTATGACCCATATGACACAAGGACAATTATGTATTTACATGTCGAAGTCGAAGCCGCATCGAACTGTACGCACGTCGGTCGCGCAACGACCTTCGCCTTCCTTGGTGAGAAACGCAGAAAGGCGAGAACCATGGCGGCGGTACTATTGGCGAAATTGTGCTTTCGCTGTGTCGTGCGCTTTTCCGACCGAGAGTACATGCGCTGAGGGAAGAAAGCCATCGGGATTGAATAGGAAGAAAAAATGGTACGTGAGAACGTAATTGTCCGTCACTGTCGTCGCGAGGCAGGCACGTAATCGAATGCCGGAGTAATTGGTGACGGGCTAACCTCTGACCGGACAGCCGATATCCCATTCCGCAATATGTTGCGTCATTTCGTTGAATGAGTCTCTCCGAAATCAAGTTGATTGACCACGCTATTTACAAATTTCTTAATTTAGTAGTAGAACACACAATTAGTTTTCGAATTCTTTTACCTTTTATTTTAAGGAATGATCTTTTTTTATGAAACCTTCATGTCGCATTTCTTAATTACATGTACTGATTACATTTGCTTTTTATATCTTTCGAAAATTTATTTATATATTATTAATTTTACGTAAATATATCTCAGATCTATCTTGAATAAATGTAGATTCAAATTATTTTATAGATGCATATTTGTGTTTACTAATTTTTTTGTTCAGAAAACATTTTATTATATAATATCTATAATATATGTACTGTTTGATGTTGTACTTAATAATATTTCAAACAGTTGACTTATATAAAGATTATGTTCTATAAGATCTTTATTAAATTTGTATTAATAAATTCATGTAATTGAACATTTAGCATCTATTTATTACTTTATGCGTTGACAGAACCACTGCAGTGAATCTAGCAATGACACGGATGAAGGCGATGATCAGGAGGCGTCTTCTTTGCAAGAAGAAACAAACATTGAAGATACCTTAACATCTTTCAGGGAACAATGGCAACGTGAGTTAACGATATCACCTAAGCGTGATACATCAAAGACGTATTCACCAAATCAGCCTAACATTGAGGTCGCAAATGATGAAGCTTCTATCGAAAGCAAGGTATAGTAATTATTGTCGAAATAAGTTTTGTACTCTTATAACATTTCTATAAAAATATTTCTTGTTTCAGGCAAAGAATTTATTTCTTAAAGGTATTGAACACGAACAAAGCAGAAAGTTTTATGAGGCAATTCAGTTTTATAAGCGTGCGGTACAATTAGTTCCTGATATTGAAGTGCGTTTGTATGAATCAACAAAAGCAAAAGCAAGAGACAGATTCGATACTGATGATTGTTGTGATACACTAGACAATGATTTTTCAAGTACTAACGACAGCGAAAATCATAATGAAATTGACGAAGAAGAAACTGATTTATTTTTGAAGTTGTCTAAAATTGTAAATCGCAATCAATGTGTATGTTTTCCAAAATTCGAACAAAGTGTAAGTATATTATTTTTAACATTTATGTTGTAATAGTTTGTGTTGTAATTTTAAATGTACGAAATATTTATACAGGGTTGTAATTAAAATGTGCTGCATTCTATATTCAACTTCCTTCAATTCACTTTCAATTCAATTTACTTTATGTTATTTCAGACAACACATATCTCTGCATTACCTATGGAGATAGTGCTTTACATTCTGAGATGGGTTGTGTCTTCTGAACTGGATTTTCGATCGTTAGAAATGTTTTCAAGAGTATGCCGCGGATTTTACATATCTGCACGAGACACGGAGATCTGGCGACTTGCGTGCGTTAGGTAAATATTGAAAGATATTAGCATGATTATTGGTTATTAAATTGGAATTGTTTTCAATAGGGTATGGGGTGTAAACTGTGGTACTTGCGAACCGAAATACAAATCGTGGAGGGATATGTACTTGCAACGGCCTAGATTAAGATACAACGGATGTTACATAAATAAAACAAGTTACATACGCGATGGAGAAAATAATTTCCAAGACCGTTTTTACAGACCATGGCATCTCGTTGAATATTTCCGGTACCTGAGGTATACAGAAATATTATTGTAATATCTGCAAAGATTCTATTTTCTTGCTATCATATTATGACATCCGAAGTGAAAAATTTTTCACAATATTTTTCTTGCACTTAGATTTTTTCCCGAAGGAAGAGTTTTAATGTTGACTTCGACTGAGGAAGCTCAAATCTGTGTAAATTCCTTACGAAATCGCATACCACGCAATCCATCAGTTCTAATTGGTCATTTTCGATTACATGATAATTATGTGACACTTGTATTGAAAAGACAAGAAACTAAAGGAATCAATTTCTACAGAAGGAAAAAAAGAGAACCGGTGCATGATAGTGGTGAACAAACGTTTCATATTGTAAGTAATAAATATATCTGAAATTGAATATTATCAAAAATCAGTTAATACATTTTCCCATACATGTAATCGTAGGAATTTGAAATACAGAATCATCATAGAAGAGTAAACTCGCAATTGAAATGGATCAGCTACAGTATTTTCACAAAATATAAAAATGGACAGGAAGCGAAGATTTGTCTAAAGGAACCATCTGTAAGGGAATTCAGGGCGTCGCCGATTGGTGGTAGATATCCACCTCTTAAATTCAGCAGGGTAAAGAGTTATACTCAAGAGAGCGAAGTCCCATTATAGTAATGAACTGACAACAAACAAATCATATGAATCATGAGAGTACAATTATCGAATTATTCTTACAGAAGAAAAATAGTGAATGTAGTGAATTCTCAGTATGTTATAAAACTGAAAACAAAGATGAATATGTAATTAAGTGTACTTTTCTTTGAATTATATTAAGTACGTATACATATTTTTCAAGATATTTTATTTATCTTATATCACGCATTGTATTCTATTATAACAGTTTCCTATTGTATATTATACAACCTGCAAATCACAACTATTCTTAAAGATTTACGATGATAACACTTCCAATCGTGAAAGTGTATAACTTATTTATACAGATCTAATATAATTATTTAAGCACTAGATTATAGTGCCTTACATCGCAATGAGTTGCATACTTCAGAACTTAACAAAGTATGTACTGAAGAATGTAATTACGTAGTTTTGTTTATCAATTAATTATTGCTCAGCTTTACTTAAGTTTAAAAAGTGTTAATTGAATAAAATTTATGTAAATTTTTTAAATTGTGTATATAATTTTGTATAATTATATATAATAAAAAATAGCAAGCACTGAAATATTGTATGATCTTATTTATGCAATGAGAATATAACGATGTACACTTGTGTGGTACAAAATACAACATATCAACTCTTGCGGGACATGTGAAATATATGTTCGTACTCTGTATTACTATCAATTGCTCTTTTTGCTACTAAATAATTTTTACATAAAATCGTAAATCTGTAACTGATTTTTACTGTGTATATCAATTCGCTATATATATATTATAATATATATGAATTACTCATCTAAATTGAAATTTACATTTCTACTTTTCCTATTTCTGAATGCCGAAATAGAATTAGCTGACCTTTAGAATAATTTATTATCGGTTCAGTATCACCTGAACAACGAATTATCTTACTATAGTGGAATTGAACCAGCATCCACTGATATATTGAAATAATTTCATCTCTGAATATATTATAAAGCGTAACTGATTTAAAGAAATGGACGTTCAGAATATGTTATTGGATATCTCTGATCAAAGTCTACACAGTCCGAGAATTTTTAATCTTACTCGAATAATTTTTTTAAAAATATATTTAAACTGTTTCTGAAATTTTGTTTCAAACATAGTCTGATACGATCACAAGTTTTTATCATTCCAATTCAAGAAATAAATCAATTAAAAAAAATATCATTAAAAAATATCATGTTTTCGAATTCTCTCTCTCGAAAATTTTTTCTGAATGTAATTAATGTTTAATAAATTTAATAAAATAGCTGTAAATTTAAAATTAATTTTTTTTTCATTTCTGTACTAACATGAATTATATATTAAATATAATCTATGCTATTAAATATAATATGATTCGGCTTTCGAATACGGACCCGTGAAGACTGCCGCACTTTAACTTATTGCATCACATCGTATTGTGCTTGTATTGCTTTCCAGATCATCTTTAACTTACTTTCTCTCACATATGTTAATAAAGTATATACAATTGACTCTAGTAAATTCCTAACTTCTTCCAATATAAACTTATATTATATGTTCTTCAGGTAATCATATAAAGAATAAGCGAGTTATAAGGAAAAATAGCAAATATAATAATTTTGCATAAAATTCATTCTTAATATTTGAATTTTTATATTGTGTTTTTTCTCTTTTACAAATATTAATTACAAAAGAAAAGATGTAGATTTTTTTATTTAATTGTCGGATTTCTTCAATAACAATAATTTAATACAAAATATACAAAATAATATTAGTGTTAAAAAAAATTTAAGATAGAAAGGAATTTAAAATCTGTAAATAAATTGCATCAGTATCTTTTAAATAATATCTTCACTCAATAAGAAAGATTATATTCTTTTGATACAAAACTGTATCAAAAGCTGGAAAGAAATATTTCATTATATTATCAAAAGTAAATTGTAAAATAAAATATTTATTTTTAACAAAATAAACATTATTTCTTTCTCGCATCATACCCGTCAATTTCCAATTTTACCTTGCTTATTTATGTATTTGCAGAAAAACTCCACAAATATCCCATTATTTAAGCATTCGATATGATAAGTAACCGTACATACTTTGTACTCATGATTGTACCTAAACCGTCCCGCAATAATTACATAAATTAAATAACTCTGTATTATATAAACTCTGTAATATATATATAATATGTATATATATATATATTTTTTTCAATATCCTTAAATTTATATTATAGAATTCAGCACTTTCTGGTCTCCAAATGTCGAAACGCTCGACTAATCGCCAGTTGTTATAGGCTCGGTTTATCACAGACTGCAGCAAGCCGTCGCGTTCTTCATGATTCAATCACAATTCTTCGCGATCCGAAGGAAGAGAGCTTGTTTTATTGCACGTAAACGGATCAGACATCCAGGCGAGATCCTTTAAGGTTGCGGAATGCATAGAACATACCGCTAGGACGACCATTACATGCATCACATTATGAGAATTCAGCACTAAATCCAATCGGCCGGGAATCCATTTCTCTGGAATGCGAAGAGCGCCAATGGTTGCACCTATCACAGCTATGAGATCCTGGAATTTATTCCTACATCAGCATTACCTCTAATATTTAGTACACGCGGCTATCTGGAATCATATTCAAAATGCACCTGTAATATTATATGAATAAGAGCCTCAGGTGATCCGCCACCAATATCGAAACATCTTAACATCATGATCAACATTCTCATTAGGAAAGGAGGGGCAAAACATAAACGTCTTTCCCAGGGTGATTTAGCAGTCATTGCCTATGAATCACATTAATGTTTAAATGTTTTATCGCCACAAAGCGTCGTTGAATCAGATGCAAGCTAAAAATACCTTTAAAAGTCCCCACATACTAAGAGAGCAATAAATAAAAATGCAGCAATACCAGACATTATCCGCAAGGCAATGAACAGCGGCTGCCATCATCGGTATAGCTCCTGAAATATTTGTGCGTGAAATAGAGAAGCGTCTATTTGCTACTAAACGAACTGTTCTCGTAGCCATTTTTTTATTTAAAACTTTCTTCATCTGAAGTAGAAATCGATCAAAAAATAATTTCAAAATTTAATTAAGATCCATATGAAAAGTTATTTGTAAAATAAAATCTTGTAAATTTGAGCTCTAATCATACATATATATCTGTTTTTTCAGCACATTCGGAAAAGTTTTTATTAAAGCCTAATTTATAGGGTATTCTTTGCTTCCTATTTCTTCTTTTTACCTCATTTCTTGCTTTTTCTTTTTTTATGACGGAATTATCTTATCGACAATTGCGTTTTTTTTTACGTTTCTTATCTCTTTTGAAGTCTATGAACTTTTATCTCGGGTAAAGAGAAATTGAAGTAAACAAAGAAATTGAGTAAGAGACAAAAAGGCAAGTAAAAAGTGGTAAAAATCAAGAAACAAAAAACATATTGTATATTAGCCTTTATAAATAGATCACACACCGAAACTCTGGCACAGCCATATGCCAATCATGTCGACTTTCAACAGTGTTCTGTAGAGAACTTCGTCGTAGTTTACGTTCATGAAGAGATGATATAGGAAGGATCCAATCCACGGACTAACAGCACCGATAAAATGGCACCAGGAAAGAACTCCCACGAGTGTCCCTTTTGTATTCCATGGAAGTAGATGTGGTACAGTCACCAACATGTACAGGATAGCAAATCCTATAAGCACACACGATCGCTCGTACAGAATGCTTTCGGATAAATCTATCATGGAATAAAGTTCTTTGATGTTAGAAAATTGATGATATATCTTAAGCTGTGAGAATCTATTTTTATGAACTCTTTGGTCTCCAGAAGTTTAAGAATTATATCTTTTATAATTTTTAAAGAACATGTTGATATTTCCATTAAAGAAGTGTATTGTTCGTCAGGAACAAACTTTAATTTCTGAACAAGTTTCTTAATTTTTGAGTCATTTTCTACCTCAGAAGTAACTATCCAATATTATATTGATAATTAAGAATTGAGAAACGTTAAAAATTGAAAACGGGAAAAATTGATGGGTGTAGAGGAATTCATAACATAGTTCAATTTTCTGAAAAAACAATTTCAAGTATATTAATGAGTTCTCTTTCACCTACATGGGTAGTTATGACCTACTAAGATTTTATTTCACACACATGTGCACCAGTCGATACATGAGATTTATACGGGATGATTCATCAAAAACAGGACATTTGAATGGCTTTCTTAGTTTCTCCTTTGAATGAAGGAAAAAAAATATAAGGATAATTTGTTTAATTTTAAGGAGCGACAGAAAGAAGAGCTATCTAATCTCGCTATAAAAGGATTGCAATTTCAAATGTGTTCGTAATGTTTTATCGTTCGCGGATGTTTAGAATGTATTTGATTGACATTCGGTCAGTGATTAGAAATTTATCAATGAATCAGCTTTAACAGAGAAGGAATATCATATGGGTTCGCTTTCATCGATCGTTCGTTACCCTGCAATGCGTCTTCGTTGAGCGCGATATTTTCACGGAAGTTGACCTTGATAATATACACCTTGACTTTAAAGCCCTTAAGGGACTTAATCTACTTTTCCAGTTAATCCAATCACGAGGATGGCAAACCTTTTACGTGATATAACTGCGTATTCTTTGGACGGAATACAGTTGATCGCGTGAAGAATAATGATAGCTACTATTTCAGGATTCAATTTTGTTTCGCGGAGTTTCAAAGTATTTTGCATTTGATTTATTCTATTTTATTTTGCAGCATACCATCTCTCTTTCTCTCTCTTTCTTTTCATCAAAGCAACGAAAAAGTCAAATTTAATTCAAATTTGGAATTAATCCAATTGGAATTAAGCCACATTTAAGAATCCACTATCAGAGATTTCCTATGGTAAGAAAATTATTTATTATTTATCTAAACATGTTATAAGAAAGAGAGAAAATCTCTTCTGAATACAAAAATTTTCCTCGCGTACTTTATCAACATTAAGCTCATTAAGAAGTTCAACGAATAATGTCCTATTTCGGAGGTGAAAATTTTATTATCGCAACGAATAATTTTCTTTCATATTTTTAAGCATCTAATTCCAAAGCATTAACTTGCTCTAGAATTAAAAATTCAAAACACTTAGAAAAAGAAAAATAAAATTCTTTATATTATAATTACAACAGTTAATAAATTAAAATATTATCTTTCTTGAGATTTGTGTAACTTTGGTACACACTCTATCAATCGCGTAGGCAACTCTGAAAAGATTCACGTCATGCGACACAGGAAAAAAATTGCAGGACGAAAATTGCATACGTTAAAATAATTAATAGTACGTTAAAAGAAAAAAATAAGCTTTTTAGCGTTTTCATTCTAATAGCATTGTGTTCATAATCACAAAGTATGTAATCGCGACAGATTTCCGTCTCACCGTGCGTCAGGATGTTGACGGTCTCGTTGTGGATGTAGAAAAGGCTACCGAGGCACTGGCGGATGGTCATGAGCGGTCTGTAGCCGGTGAGGATGTGGGGATTAAATTGAAGGTGCCGCGGCATTTCGCTCCATCGTCGCAGCAGCAGGACTTTGGCCGACGTCTCGTCCAGATGTGGCGTATCGGGTCCGTCGGGCATCCTCTTGTCGTCCTGACACCGCGCTCCGTACGTGTCGGTGTCCTGGTGCGACGAGCCCGACACCGCCGCCGCATGGCGCGGTCGCTCGTCGTCCCGGAACAGCGTCGTGCAAAGGCGAACGCGCGGTGCCCGCTGCCTCGGGGAAGAGGGATCGGTCCGGCCAGCGGACGAGGCAGTATAAACGAGATCGCCTCCGAGAGCCGTACGCGAGCTCTCAACGGTGGCGACGTCGCCACTGCATCGTCGTGCGCGCCGCTGATACCCCCGTCCGCTCGTCCGCCTGCTCGCCAGCAGCAGCCGTCATCCGCACGCGATTCGGCCTCTCTGACGGTTCCGTCGTCATGGCAACCGCATCGATCCCATCACTCGGACGGGGTGGTTAGGAGGAAACCTCATCGTGCGCGATCTCGCTGGATCTCGCAGCTCGATGTTCACAGATGCTTCTAGTTCCTATACCTGGCTTTCTTAACTAACCCAATAGGTAGTAACTATTTATGACTTAAATCGAAAATTCAGTTACGTTAATTTGATGATGATCTCGGACATCGTTCTCGCTTTTCCTTCGTTTTCGTACTATTTTCTTAATACTTGTTTACATATGATTAATAATATCTACAAGTAATACGTGTCATGAAGCAGTTCGGAAAAATTTGTTATTGTTTAGTATTGTTTATTTATTTTAAAATATAATTTGATTTTAACACACATTTATTGTTTAACACATATTTATGCAATTAATGTATGGAAATTATACATTTTTAATAAATAGAATTTTTTCAATTAACAAAGGATATCAATATAATTGTGCTTTAAACGGTATTAGAATTTTAAGCAGAACACATAGTTGGCGTGCAGCTCCTGAATGTCCCATATAGAGTTTCCACGTGTGACCTATTGACACAATTTCGGTGGTTGGATGTTTTTGAGTTAATATACTATGCTGGATATCGTTTCCTATTCCTACTGCTCACGTTATACATTATGCAAAATATATATACTATTTCAAGCTTTATCGACTTGCATCGACGAGCATTGCTTCGTCCTTGCAGTTGAATCATATAAAAACTATTGTGCTAGAAATAAAACAAATCAAAAGGAAACTTGACGAACTGTATTTGTCATCAACGTGAATTTGCATTAAAAAAGTCTTAATAGAGATGGAAATCCTTTCCAAAGATGAAAGTAAGAGGTTTGAGTTGCATTGCTTTCAAAACATGATATTGAATCTCAGAAGATGAAACATTATTGAAGAAGAAGAGAAACGTTGAAGAATCACACATAGACATTTTATTTATATGCAATGCTCATAAAACATCTTTTTATACCTTTTTAATACCACCCATTGATATCTATTCTCTGCATCGTACACTACAAAAAATTTTTTTAAAGATCTGTTTTTTAATTCCTAAACTCTCTGAACTAAAACACATATTAAAAAAAAAATATGTATTAAAATTTAAGATCTTTTTTATTCTTGCACTCTCTGAATTGGTGCACATGTTGCAATAAGGTGAAGTAAAACAAACATACATTTGTTTCACTTCAATTTATTGCAACATGTACACCAATTCAGAGAGTGCAAGAATAAAAAAGATTTTAAATTTTAATACATATTTTTTTTTAATATGTAAATAATTATTTACTTCCAATAAATATTTAATTAATAGAAAAATGATTAAAGTTAAATCAAATTAATAGTCTTCAAATAAACATATGTTTACATTTAATAAATATCTATTTAGAATATCTAAATATCTATTCAAACGAATATTTATTAAAATTAATTTCTCTTTTTCAGTATAACTGAATACAATCAACCCGAATTTGCCAGCGAGAGTGCGCGCGAAAGTTGACCGTAGCTTGTTCTTGCATGAAGCGCATCTTACGTCAGAGTCACTCAAAATCCGAAAAAGCGACAGGAACGTGACTTAGATCTTCGTCGGCGACTTGTCGCGGCCGCTGCCGTCGGGGACACGTTCCGATCCGCAGATGCTTTTCGATCTGTAAGTCCGCGTGATCTATTATAATTTTTCATAGCGAAATCATAGCAATGCAACATCTTATACGACGAACATCTCCTGGTTCCTCCCTCTTTCTCCCGGCGCATAAAGATTGTTTTAGGACTTGGGACGAGACTCGTGGATACCAAACAATGGATACCAAAATTCCCGATGGGCCACCTGGTGTTGACCTTCACCCAACATCTAAATGTCCGCATGTCGTACTCGGGGTGAGTTCCACCGCGCCGGCGCAAGCGCACCCCGACGATGGGGTGCATTATCTACAGCAAGTATTCTTGGTGAGTATCACACGCGCGATTGTGATGTGTGCAAGTACCGCGCTGCGTTCTCTCCTCAGACTATCCCCGAGGAGTGTTCGTGACATGCCCCGTTGCTTGACAATTTGGACCGGTCGTGTCAGTCGGCCTTGTCTTGCTGTGCAGGTAGTCGATGCACATCTGCTTACCCCTTCTGGGTTACGACGTCATCTTCAGATCCATCCCCTTTCCTCTCAGTTAAATCTCTTCTGCTACCGCACATGAGGCTGTAACTTGAAAAGCAACGGTGATTAACTGAGAATTCAGTTAACTCAGATTGTCGATGTCAATCAATTGCAATCTCATTTATTCCGTGCTGCGTACCTATGTTACATTATGTTTTGGCGCAAGACTAGTGTGTCACGTGGTCTCCTTTGCGAGACGATCGAGCTGGCGCTCGTACTGATATCGACGTTCTGTCGACTGTATGAAGATTAACACCTTTGTGTAATCGCGCGTAATTCTTCCATGTACATGGCAGTAGAGCTAAAATGTATCTTACAAATCGCATCTCCTGTAAAATATTTCTGTTTTTCACTTGTTTGTTGTTTATAATATAATCTGACAGTAAAGAGAACATGTCATTTATATGCATTTGCGTTAATATATACATACATATCTTTTTTCTTTTTGCAAAATTCGTATGCTTTTAGTGGAATAACTATCTGATAACTGAATCCGATTTAGAAGTGTTTTTTATTCCCGCTCTTAGTGTGCAATAAGTTGAAGCAAAATAAATATACTTTGTTTCAACTTATCGCATCATTTCAGAAAGCGCAAGAATAAAAACAGAACTAAGGTCACACAGCATCTTTCATTTGTTGCAAAATGTAAACTTTAATTATAATATCAAAGTATTCCAGCGTAATGCATTCAGATTTCTTCTTTTTAACTTCTTGCATCGTTTATTTTTTCTCTTTGTTTCTTTAACATGGAGAGAAAAAGAGGACAAATAAATCTACAAGAAGCTAAAAAGAATAGGTCTACAAACAAAAGGTCTTTTTTAGTTAAATTTCTTGCACAGTTTGTACACTTTCTTTCTTTTCTGTCCACATTGGAGAAAAAAAGAAAGAAAAAAAACGAATCGCAAAGAGAAATTTGGGTTTAAAAAAAAGTCTAATTCAATATGAACACTTCTTTGCAGAACACCTGCAGGGAATTATGGACGATCCCGGAAGGTGCGATCGCGACGACGGCAGCAAACTACTTTTCCCATGATCCGTCAAAGTACATCTCGTTTGGTGTAGTAACTCAGGTAAAAACGTACTATTGTAACAGCAAGTGCCTCTTGTGACTAGTTTTAAATCCATGAGTGTAATCGTGGTGAGAAATTAATAGCTGCGTTCAGCAGAGAAAGCTCATTAATGAACGTCTAGTTTTTTGATTAATATGATTGAATCAATATGATTGATTTCTATACTTAGATCCTATACTTAGTAAAGAACTAACGGCAAGAACCAATCATATTAAAAAATCAGTTAGCGCTTGCTGATTCTTTAATATGATTGCTTCTTGCAGCCTTTAGTTCTTCAATGAATTTAATAGTGATTGGTTGCATTCAGTATGCACATTAAAGCCCTCATACTTTGACATAAAAAGTATATGTTTAATATAAGGATAAAAACGGATTAAACCAAGAAATCTTTTCATTTTATTGTGCTGTAAGTAAAATCCGTATTTTATAATTTAAACTATTTGCATTTTACTTTTACATAGATTTAAATTACTGCACAATGGTTTTAATATACACTAGTGCGTCCAACCGAAACTTCGCTATAAGTATAGGAAAAGCAACCATAATAAAAAATTATTCTGAATACTCTCTAATCAATTTTATCAGCTTAACGCAGTTATACTTACGCAACACTGCATAAAAGAATGGCTGCTTGTACGAAATGTTGTTTCGTTATCTCCATTTTTTTTCCGGATCGCAGCATTGCGTCATCCCGTTAAAATACTATCATTATGTATCTCTCGGGACGACTTTTGCGCGTTTCTTTGTAATTCAAATTTACATGTAGTTCGTCGAATGATCATTATTGAATTGTGCGGGGAAACACGCTGAAAACAAAAATGATAACAATACTGCTTTCGTTCAAATGATACTCGCGGTGTGGTGCCACCTACGAATCATCCATCCCGTCAGTTATCGGTCTGGTTTCATTCGTTTCTATATGTTGTGTCCAGTACCATATATATATTCATATATGGCCTATCTATTTGTCGAAATATCCTTCTTTTGCTCGCAGTTCTTCGCCAAAGTCGATTATGATCTGGCACATGATAGAGCAACTGCTGCACAAAGGCTTTATGTGGATATCTAAGAATGTATGGAGACAGGTACGCAAAAAATTTCCGTGGTGTATAAAACTGTGCGATGCTCGATTAAGGACTTATTTAGATAAACGTGTATAGCTGTATAAACGTAATAAAGAAAATTATCCAATTGCATTTTTTCTGCGTTTTTACGACAAAAATGTAACTGGATAATTTTCTTTATGCATATATTATAGTTATGCAGCTATACAAGTTTGTCTGGACCCTAATAGCAATTTATTAGCGATACTTTGGTTATACATTGGGATATATTGGGCCAATATTTGGTCATACATTGTGCTAATAATTGTGCTACTAGAGGATAGACCTTAAATCCCAGCAAACAAGCTGACGATGGTTATATTCCAAAATTGATTGCCGGTACTGAAAATCTATTGTGTACGTAACGCAAATTAAAGATTTTCAAAGCGTTGCAGTAAATTTGAAACACAGCGATCATTTGAATGTTAAAATAACAGTAAATAACATCAGTTTATTTACGGGGACATAACGTACGTTTACGTACTCGAAATTTTTGTTTGATATTATGTATTTATAATTATTCCCCGCGAGAGAATTAGGTTTTGAAAGTTCTTAATTAAACATCCTCAAATATATATACGTTTATATACGCATTCGTCGATAAATTTTCTTCTACTTAATTTTAAGTTTCATGAAATTCGTTTCTAATCGCTACGTATTTATCATTATGACTAATAATGTTATCTACGGTAGATAGTAGACATTACGTAAATAATTCTTTGAATAAAATTAAAGGTGTTTGACTATATACTCACACAGCATTTGAACTTCTTACTATTTTTCTGATGATTTCCAAAATATTTAATTCTTCTCTGAATGGAAGTATGAATGTGTGAAGGTCATGTTTATCAATAATACGTTTATCTATACGCGGCAACGTTTCAAAAAGTATTCAGAAAAATGTACATATTTTGGTTAATATGATAAATGCATTATTATCAAAAATTTTATTTTAACATATTACGATCGATCGCAATAATCCTTACGATAATACGTAAGTGGCACAGATGAAACTTCTTCAAATCAGAAGTTCCGGTATTCTGGAGTACTTTGATTTCGTGCGCATTCGCTTCACTTCGTGCGTCATCGACTACTTGCAGGGATGGCAAATTTTTAGGAGTCATTTGTTAGTGGCACATAATCGAAGCATTGAACAAAAAGGCCGCGAAGTTACAAACAAATTAAGGCAGTTAAGAATTATTTTTATTTGAGATTTTACATTGATAAAAAAAAATAAGCTTGTTTATAATCATCAAAACGTGCAAGTTCGCGTGATGTTTTAGAAAAATCTATATGCAATTGTTTTTATCAAGTTTCTTTATTTTACTTTTAATTTGACTAAAAGTTTTTATGCTAGAATTTTTGGGAAGACGATGTTGCACAAAATCTTACAAACTTTGACACACTACTAATTCTAGATTTTTGTTTTAATATATCGGTAAATTATAAATTGTAGTTCCTTACAAGTAAATCTATTGACGTATGAAGTTTCAATATCGTTGGTAGTCAAATATTATCAGACACATGATGTAAGAATACAAGGTGATTTATTGCGCATAATGACGATCGAATATAATTTTGGAGTGAATTTTTTATTGATAAATTTCTAACAGCGATTCTACATTGGCTTGTAACATTTTGATCTAATTTTTTGATTGGTTATCGATTGCACGAAATACCTTTATTCTTACATCATAATTGGGCAGTTTCATCGTGTTGTCGAATTTCGGATATTTATGATGTAAAAGCTATATAAGACTTACGAAGGGCCGAGGTGCCAATAGAGCCGTCCCTGGCTCGCCGACAATCGTCGAGTGAAACCGAAGAGGTCTCGCCAATCGCATTGATCCAAAGTCCCACGTCGTTGTCACACAACACTGTCGTACATCGCACGCTGTCGGTGCTCTTTGGCATTCTTGTGTTTAGTGGGTTCAATTCTGGGACCAAGCGAGCCTATTCTGCCTATCCGACGTAAGTCCGCACTCCATAACGTAATCCGCATCCAGCTCGTGACGTGACTAACGAATCTGCGTGTGTTATCCGGCTGGGATCTGTACGTGTATGCTGCATCGCGCTTGGTGCACTCTCTGTAATTCCAAGATGGCCGCCGATGCTTGGAAGGTGTCCCCCCTTATGGTGTATCGTCTGCGTCCTCTTTTACGCATCCCTCGCACACGCTTTCCATTTCATTTGCTTCAATAACCGCCTCATCCGATCGACGAAGGGCCACGCGACGTCGCCGCGCGCGATTTCTTCGATTCCGAATCTCGCGATCGCCATCGATGGTGCCCAAGATGCCTCCTCGAGGCATGATGCGCCATCATCGATCCTCGACGGCGAAGCCACGCGCGCGCCTATGTTCACGGCACTAATTTTTTCATCGTACCGCCGTTCGTCGCACGCCTTCGCGTCATCTTTTTCGCCGCGATTCACGCGATTTTCGGCCGCGTACGTGTCGTTTTGGCGGGAGCGTGTCTGGAAGGTCACGAATACGCGCGCGATTCGAGTAGGTGTGACGCAACATAAAAAATGCACGACTCTTTCGAGAGAGAGAGAGAGAGAGAGAAAAAAAAAGAGACCTCACTCGTTGCGTTGTCCTTAAATATCCAACGCTGATCTTCTCGACGGATTCTTTTTTTTTCTTTACCTTTCTTCTCTACTTCCCCTCTCCCCCCTCCCCTCCCCTCTTCTCGCGGAGTGGGCTAATCTGTACGGTGTCTGTGACGCTCTCACGAATGCGATTGCCCACGTTTTGCAGAATTTTTTGAGCCGATGTCCACGTGGTTGTCGAAAAACAGTGTCGTACCGCAAGCGTCATCCACACGCTCCTGGATATCGGCCGTCATCGAATTCATTTGGGATCAAGTGAGCCTGTTCCGCCTTACCAACGTAAGTACACGCAGTATGGCTCCGGTATAAGACTTCGGGTACGGAGTTCCCTCCGGTGACTCTATTCGGCGCCCGTATCACGCGAATCTGCCACGTATCGTTCTCGGTCTTCGACTCCGTTAATATTCGCGCTGTCGTTGCTCCGTCACCGGTTCGATTCGCGTTTGTCGATCTTATCGGATATATACCTGCCTTCTCATCTTGTCGCACCTCATTTTTCATAAATTGTAATCGCACGCATGATGGTCTGGCTCGGTTACATCAACTCGGTGTGGGACTAACCCATTTTCTAGACTAGAATATTCTAGATTAATACTGTGTCCATAGTGCTTTCCATTTTCACACTGATTGTGAATCTTTAAAGTTATGCGAGTATTTTGTACTCCAATAATAATGTTACTACTTGATTAATTTGGTAACGAAGTTATCGCATAACGATAAAGAAATTAGAAATTAATACAGGTTTATAACTCACTTTTAATATGAGTTATATCTGCTTCCATTAATGTAGATTAATTTTAAGGTCTGTATTCTGTAGTTGAACTAGTATACATTTTTAAAACTTAAAGCGAAATAGACATATGTTTTTATGATATTTAGTGGAAGCGAGAAAGAAGTGCAGTTTAATGTAGGAATAAAAAACAGACTTTTAATCTTCAACTTATTCTTTATTTATTTCTAGTTCTAAAGCTGACTTTTCATGCGCAGTGTTCTGTGGCAGCAAAATGCTATCATTGATTAAAAATTTTTTGTGAGTTAATGCATTTCCAATCAGTTGTTGAAAGTATGGATCAGACACATTTTGCTGTCGCAGCATACTATGCATGAAAAGTTAACTTTAGATTTAGAAAAAAATGGAAAGTAAAGAATTATTTATACTAGCCATAATTTGTTATCTTATGTCGTAATTTATAAGAATTGACTACGTTTACACTTTGCTCTTAATCGAGTTTAATAACATCTGTAGTTAATACTAAAGTCCCAAACATAATGATTATCACAGGCAATAAAAAGGAAAGAATAAAAAAATACAGGCAGTATATCTCAAACTACCAGAAATTTCTTTACATTCATACACGATTTCTGATAGATTAAAATTTAATGCCCGTGTTCATAGTACGAAACTCACCTATCACAGCTATTAGTGAGTTTCATAACTACATATTTAGTCATTCTATTCTTGTAAAGAATGGAATTACTATAATTGGCCATTTTTATAACTGTGGATATTATTAAATCCGATTAAGGGTGTCGTGTAAATATAGTCATTGACTAATCATAGCTGATTATTCCTCTCATTCGACTGTAATTAAGTCAGTTCTTACAGATTACAGCATAATCAGATTACGGCCAGTATAAATGACCTTTAAGTCGAACCGAGATTAAAGTTAATTTACATTGATGGAAATGAGCATTAACTAGACTCAGTAAAGCAGTTCCGAGCTTATACAGATAGTAGATAAAAACTCAGTTGAATCTCACATGTCAGAATGAAAAGGAACATGTATTCATACTGACGTATGACGTCATAAATGAAACTTATGAGTTTTTTTTATGTAAGTAGAAAACAACTTGTATAAAGCCTACATCGAACTAGAGATTGAGATTGGATTTCAATTTAATCAAAAAGAAAGAAAACAATATCAAGTTTTGTAAACTTTGCTTTGATTTGTCAAATTCCAATTAAATCTCAATTTCAAGTCTAATCTAGGTTTAACACGCAGCGTGTTTTTTTTTTAAAGGTCGGACATACTAGGTCTGTTCTTTTTGGCTGAACTTTTGTACCAGTTCATCTCTCTTCCTCTTCTTTTCTCGTGGGCAGAAAAAGAAGAAAGATGAGCCGGTGCAAAAGTTCAGTCAAAAAGAATAGGCCTATTTAATGTTTTCCATTTGGTGATACTAGTCACAAACATTATTCTTTCTTGGTATTCCAGTGAGTAATAAAGATATAGCGATACTTGTGTTAATTTATGACTAAATGAAAAGAACAATTA